TCTGTTGCACAGATGTGGCGGTATGACAGGGCAGAGGGTCAGGGTAAGCAGCAGGCGGAAGCATTGAGTAACACCCAGCTCAAAAAGCACCAAATTACAGAACTGAAACAAAGACAAGAGCAACCGTGCATCACAGAGACCAGGTGTGAGGTGTGGTTATGCCAGTAAAAGAAACAGAACTAACATTTAAATATCTCATATCATTTTACATGCATGATTAAATAGGTTTCAAACTTTGCAAAAAGGTTTAATAATAGATTCAAGAACATAAGCAACTGTAAAATGTTCACATTCATGTCTTGAATCTCTCATGGGTTGTTCATTAAAGATTCTGGAAAAGTCATTAACAGAAATGCAATTTATTACTTGAAAAAACAAATCACACAAATGCAGATTGCTCAAAACAAGACATTGTACAAATAGGATATTATGTGACAAAAATGTTCTGGTGGAAATGATAGATAGTACAGTTTGAAAAAGAGAAAATATTGCAGTTTCAATGTCAATGGTTAATATTTTAAAACATCATAATGACATGGTTTTTTGTAATAAAATAAAGGACAAAGACGGTTACTTACATGATACTCTGAATGTATGCAAAAACACTGTGAAAAATACATTCTACAGAAAGTTCACCTCATTTAACCTGAAAGACAAGAAAATAAACGTTGATCCTTAAAAATACTCCACAATGTTTACATCCCTGCAATTCAGTTAGGCTTACTGCATCATAAAATACCACATAGAAGACTTTCCTGACCTCGTCATAACAACGCCCTCATAAATTTAACTTAAACAGTGTACAACAGTACAATAAAGTATTACTTTTGGATTTCAAAGGGGCTCTTGGTTATTTTTAGTGAGATCAACATCTGTTTAGTGTGAGCAAACTTTAAGTTTTTTACAGTATAAAGCTTTACAAATTAATTGTATCAGGTTTAAAATGTTGAACTTTGTGAATTCCACAAGTTTACAAAGTAGAATTTTTTGTTGTTCTTCGTTAAGCATCTTTGATTGCTCAGAAAGGCGCTATACACTGTAAGTCTAATAGTATTATTTTCACTATTTCAGTAGATTCTGTTTTAATGTTACCCCTGAACAATGACCATAAATTGTTGAGATTTGGCTGCAATCACTTTTTGAATGAATCTTCAATAAAAAGTGAAATGCGAATGATAGTGTAGTCGATGATAAATATTATTTTAGTTGGCTTTAGAGTGTTTGGTTAAATTGTAAGACAACACCAAGAGATTCAGCGTTCTTTTCTTTCTGGTTAAATTAAATCCATACATGAGGGTTCATTACCTTGAAAGCAGTAGTTGCAATGGTGAAAAGCAGAGTAATGAGGAAGAGAAGGATGAAGGTGAGGGCAGGTTCGGCCATGTTATCTTTTTCTGCCTCCAAAGCATCGCTCCATTGTGTGAAGTCTGGATGAGGTTAAAAACAATTATTGAGTTAATACGTACTCTACCAACTTTGAGACAATGACCTAATTCTACTAATGTCTAAAAATCTATTCATTTACCGACTAGTAGTGTTTGGTCAAGACCGCACTACCGTAGACCAAGACATACCTGAGACCAGAGTGCTCAGAGGCCGAGACAAGACCAAGACATTTAGGGATCGAGACCGAGTCAAGACCAAGACATTTAGGGATCGAGACCGAGTCAAGACCAAGACCATAGCAGGGCAAGACCGAGAAAATGAGAAATCATCTTCTTGTGTGCATGACCAATAACAGTAATGACGTGGAAAAATAGCCCATCAGTTTTGGTCTTGACTGGTCTTGATTTAAAATCTGGAGTCCGCCCAGTCTGAGACCGAGACGAGACAGAGTAAAAATGCTTTAGATTCCGAGAAGTTTCATAACCTTTGTGGTAAGAGTGGATTAATCAGTCAGTTACTTAACCCATAGATGACAATAAATCAGTAAAATACAGTACTGGCGTGTTTCTTGAAATAAATGTAACGAACAGGAGATCATATTCATTAAAGTGGTGTCTTGTTGATCTTGAATTGCTTTTGAAAGACCCCACTATTCTTTGTGTGGCTTGTATGACTTAGCTTTTGAATCAGTCCAAGACATTTAGGGATCGAGACCGAGTCAAGACCAAGACCATGGCAGGGCAAGACCGAGAAAATGAAAAATCATCTTCTTGTGTGCATGACCGTAACTCCATGAAGGTTGCGTCCATAACCGTGGATAGAAATCTTATTAAGAATGAAGGAATTTAAGAATTCTTTAAAAGAGGAGCATTTCCTTCCAATAACAGTAAGGACGTGGAAAAATAGCCCATCAGTTTTGGTCTTGACTGGTCTTGATTGAAAATCTGGAGTCCGCCCAGTCTGAGACCGAGACGAGACAGAGCAAAAATGCTTTAGATTCCGAGACGAGACAAGACCTTCAAAAAGTGGTCTTGAGACCAGTACTACAACACTACCTACTAGGTAAATAAGTTTCATAACCTTTGTGGTAAGAGTGGATTTAATCAGTCAGTTACTTAATCCCATAGATGACAATAAATCAGTAAAATACAGTACTGGCGTCTTCCTTGTAATGAATGTCACGAACAGGAGATCATATTCGTTAAAGTGGTGTCTTGTTGATCTTGAATTGCTTTTGAAAGACCCCACTATTCTTTGTGTGGCTTGTATGACTTAGCTTTTGAATCAGTCTGTTGGTCATTTAACGGCAGTACCCTGGAGCTGGAGATAGACCTCAAACAATCATCTCATGTTTGGGGTGCAAGACCCAGAAGATTAAACATACATATACACACAAAGACGAGTACTACACACACTGTGAATGCATATCTACAAACAAATAGTGTAATATGATAAACTTAACTGGTCTGAACTCTGTAAGTGGTTGTGTTATTCTACTGAATACAGCACCTTTTAATTATATGTATGCAGTTAAGTATAAAATTGATACTTTATTGCTATTGCAAACAATGCTATAAATCCAATTTGCTGATTTGTTAACCTGATTTTTGTTAGGATAGCACAGTGACAGTACACATACAACGGACATGTAGCTTGAAATACTGAGTAAGTAAAGACGGGACAGCATGCAACATAAATCAACAAGTTCAACCTTTTTTTTTGTTTTTATTTTGCATTTAAAGACAAACACAATATCAAATCACAAGCAACAAACAACACAAGACAGATGGAGACAAAAAAAACATCTACTGGGCCTTGCACGTTTCAGGGATGTTCATGTTGAGGTTGACCAGGTTGATGTTTTGAGAGGTTTTGGACCCAATGGACCTGACAATAGCTTTAGTTGTGTTAGTCAGAGACTCGTGGTATACTACACAACTAAACACTGCATCACTCTTGTTCCACTGCTCGAAGCTGAGGGATAACTGGCTATATGCCGAATAAGATCCTTGGTTTTCTACAGGTTTTGTGGTATGGAACCCGTACTTTGAGTCTGCTTTCTCGTCATCAACAAGCCAAGACACATAAACCTCCTTGGGGTAGAAGTCTTTCACATAGCAAGACAAGGTCACCATTTCTTTTCTAGTATGTTCTAACGGAGGCAGCATAAACACTGATGGACGCTGAGTCAGTCCTCCTGCAAGCATGAGAGAACAATTAAACCTTCTGTCAAAAATTTGAGAACATACTTTTCTAATGGAAATCTCTCCTACAAATCCAGCTTAAAAAGATCACTCATATTTGATAGATATTACAGCATCAACACACAGTATTTTAGTGCATGACTAATAGTTTTCTTACCAATATTCCTTTCAAGCTGTTTCTTGATGGGGTCAGTATACTCCGAATGTGCAACATTACAGAAGGGCTTTACCCCACGGCTCCAATCATCAAAGGAGATTTCAAGGGGAAGGCTGAATTTGCCTTTATGTCCTTTGCTGCTAGTTGTTGAGGCAGCAGCTATGTCGTTCCCTTGCTCGTCTGTCCAATAAATCTTGTCTGCAGAGACCTTATTTACCGTGACCTCACACACCATTGTTCCTTTTCCTTTTGAAAACAAGTCATCCATTGAAGGGCCATTGATATTTATATCCACATCTACCACAGAACATACGGGACCTTTTGAGTGAGACATAAGGGAGAATTACTGCATAGAAATGGCTGAAAACCAATGGAAATAAAAAAGGAATCTGAACACAATTTACTCAAAGTGCATCATTTACTCACTTGTTGGAATTTCCTCGCAACAATTGTTGAGCCCATTGTTGCTCACAGAAGAATTCTTGTACACTGGACCTTTCATACCTTTCCCCTTAAACTCGCATACATACTTGGTGTCTTGAGTCCACTCGCTGGCTGGTACTGTGAGGAAACTTGCTGCACTGTACAGAGTTCCATTCTCTGTCTTTTTTTCTTTGGCAGGAGTTTGGTCCACATATGTGTCGTGGGGGATTACCCCATCGTTTTTCAGCCATTTGAACTCGTACTGCTTTGGTGCAAAATCTTTGGCAAAGCATGAGAAGGAAACCTCCTCTCCCCCATCACATGAGGAAAACACTTTAAGAGTTGGCTCCTTATAAATCGGCACTGTAAAACAAAGATATACACAAATATATGTTTGCGCAAGCAGGGAATAAAACGTACAAAGATATATATGCAGAAGCAATATTTTCAAAATGCAGTCGACTTCGAGGTTAACTTAATTTGACTTTTTGACTTGTGGCTTCTCCTCAAATTTACACTTTTAAACGGAAAGACTCAGGAGGAAAAAATAACATTACTAAACAGCAGAGCTTTAATGCTCACTTCTGCATATATATTTACTGCTCCAGCAAGCAAACATGGATCAACCCAAACCTTAATTATCAGCATACAGGTCAATCTATCTGCATAACTTTAATTATGCAGATGGATAGAAACAAGCATGGCACATTGCAATGCTGTGATTGTAGACAGGTGCAGAGGACATGCAGAATATTAGTAAGGAGTAAAATAGACCGAGTCAGCAGCGGAATATGCATGAGAAAGTGTCAACCTTCTTATTTCACCTCACTCTTTTGTTTGCACGCCAGAGTCACTAATTATTCAAGTAAAAAATATTAAAGGATATTTCCCAATATCTCACATTAAAACAGTGTTTTTTGTTGATTTATTATCTTTTATGTTTCAAATTCTTTTGAAATTGAGTATATTTCTGTAGTAGACTGACAGAATCATGTTAAAGAAATTCAGTTTTGTTGAAAAATTACACCAATAACTTAACATTTACTTAATTATTACTCTTATTATTATTTGCAGAAGTATTTGTAGTAGTTTTGTAATTATAATTATTACAGAAGTATTGTAGTACTTTCTAAGTGTACAGTAAAATACATATCTTTCTAATCTACATGATGTAGATTATTTTTATAGGCAGATTATTTGTATTTATTTGATATCTTTATTGCATTTTTCATAGTAACATTGTAATATTAACATATTCTATATTTATTTAACACAACCAGATATATTAATTGATTTATCTGAATTAATTAAAATATTCTTTCTAATTTATTAAATATGTCCTGACACATTTTACAGATCACAGTGAGCCTATCAAGTACGACCATTTTTACTGCATGTACATTTCTATCAATGCAAATTTAAACAATATAAAATGAGTTTAAAAATGCATGATAATATATATTATCATCTCTGCCATCTTAACCTGCTACATGTAAAAATCAGCTGCTATAAGGTATTTATATGACTTAGCAGAAGTCTTACGTGTCACGATGAAAATCCCCTCTCCGTCTCCTGCTGTGTTTGATGCGATGCATTTAAAGGGCTGCTTTGCATCCAAGTCCTCTTTGTTCACTTTGATTTGACTGATTCCTGTATAAACACCACTCTTCTCTACTGGAGGATACTGGATGAAGTCCGTCAAGGCAGTTCCAGCTTTGCTCCACGCGTAGGTCACCGAGGAGGGCGAGAAGCCAGTGGCAAGGCAGCCAAGAGTGACGGTGTTTGCAGTCTCAGACCCGCATTGCATCAGAGGAAACACGGTTGGTTTGGATGAAGTGGCTAAAAAAGAAAAAAATGAAAAGAGCAGAAAAAAAATACTGAAATGAAAATGAATCATTAAAGAAATTTGTTATTAAACTTAAATCACACATGAAGAGAAGTCGGCTCTTTTTTAACAGATGGCTTAAAGCATTGGATTGAAGAATACATTTTGACACCTTTACCTGATGTGGAAACTACGCTCCATACAGTTCTTCCATCTCATCTGCTATCTCTCTTTTTTACATGTTATTGTTTGAGCTAACTTTCACAAGTAATATGATTTTTGTGGTTTTCATATGTTTGATTTTTTTGAAGTCTACAACTTCGACTACAACCGCTCTGAGTTATATTTTAGACTGAATAGATGAAGATGTAAATTCTTTGAATATACGGCAAATTATTTAGTGGCAATTTTTTGTTCTTGACATACTTTTATTTAAATCAAGCAAATAATTTAGGAATTAAATTGTTCTTAACTGATGTAACGGTTACAGTTGTACCTTTTCTCCAGTAGTCAAAAGAAGTAGAAAAGTTTAAGTTACTTCAAATATAAAAAGGGCTACGTCTGCTTATGTTTTGTGCACTACCAACGGTTCTTGCAAATTTAACTTGCTAAAAACAATCGACATTGCATCTTTTTACAAAGTTACTGTTCAACTACACGAAAGTACCCTACTTTAAAAGTGACATTTAAATCTGAAGTATCACTACTTTAAATGTAACTTAAAAAATGACATTTTGCAGTGCAAATCTTACCTGATGTCACCGTTACCATTGTTCCTTTACCCCAGTAGTCAAAAGCATCCCAGTTATCACAGTAAAGAAAGTCAATAAGGACTTGTCACAAAAACCTATCACTGTAATATCCCACAACCTCTTGTTGAACATTTTGATGTCAACAACAGTGAACAATTCTAAACAAAATATGCATCTTTGAATAGAAGTAATTTAAAACTGAACTCTGCAGCTCTGCAACTCTGACTTTCGCAAAGTCTTTACCCGGCTACAAAAATCAGTTTTCTGTTTTATCGCTGGCTACTTTCCCGTGGCCACATCAAAAAGTTAACATTGCATCAGACATTTTATATGACATTAAATTCAGAATGTTAAAGATACATACCTGAAGTTACAGTGACCATTGTTCCTTTACCCCAGTAGTCAAAGTAGTCGTAGTAGTCACAATGATTGGTTTCAATCACACCTTAGTGCAAAAATCCTCTAGAGCTTTTGTCATCGAATAAATCGATGTACTTCATCAGTAAACCAGTTTGTATGCCTTATATTTACCCTAATGTAAATGCTGAAGACTGTACGTTGGTTTGAGTACACAATAAATCAACATTCATTTAATTAAACATTGTAAATCATCGACTGCATTCATTAACATGTATTTTGATTATTACTTACCAGAAGTTACTGTGACTTGGGTCCCTCTTCCCCAGTAGTCAAAGTAGGCATCACAGTGATATATTACAGTCTGTTTATAATATAAATACTAAACGTGTTGTTTAATCAGTGAAAGATAACATGTTCCACTGACAAAGCTATTCCCACTCTACTATTTATTAACCACGTCCCTAGAGATATTTATTTCCTGTGGTGTGGGTTATATAATATTAAGTGTGTTTGACAACGGTTAGTGTTCACTTCCTCTTTATCTCATTCTCCTTTCTCAGGTCTGGATAGTGCAGCATGGAGTTAACACAACCAGATGTATTAATTGATTTATCTGAATTAATCTAAACCTGCAAAAATGTGTATGATGTAGGGCTGCGTTGCCCTCAAGTCCACATTCTATACCAGCTAAACATAATAAATATAAAGTCTTTGCACATATCTAATTCATCTGCCATAGCTCATTCAATCAGCAACACTATCTTTACTTGTGATGTCCTGTGTTTCAGTCCTTAACTTTGGTTTGGGTAATTTACAATCTCACAATCCATCAGCTTTCATCTGACAGCAATATATGCCTCAGGAATGATGGCCTAACTTCTCGGTAGTACCAGCGTTTTTCCTTTTTCATCAGTTCCGCTTCCGGCGCTGTGTGAGGTGGCCGCCGGTTGCAGCAGCTCCCGTTGTCCGTGTCATTATATCGTATTTTTTGATTAGTTATTATTTGTTTTTACTGTGTGTTTTTTAAGTATTAGTTCAATCTATTGTGTGGAAATGGCTACTTTCACTCTTGGAACTTTTTGCGCTGTATTTCTGTTACTTAGGACATTCTTTGTAACGGAGTGCAGCGCACAGCTGAGTGAGGGTATTGTTTACACACGCGAACAGCTGATGGCGCTCTCCAAGGTGCTACTGCCCAGAGCAAGGCCTGTAATTCCGGGGGAGCTGAGGAGGCGACGCCAGGTCATGCCACTTGCAGAAGTTTTCTGATGACTCTGCGGTGGTGGGGTGTATAAGTGATGGACAAGAGGGGGAGTACAGAGAGCTGGTGGATAACTTTGTGGAGTGGACAGGAAGAAATCCCCTGATTCTGAACGTGGATAAGACCAGGGAGATGGTGATCGACTTCAGAAGGAAGAGGTCAGAGCCACCACCGCTGTGCATCCTGGGAGAGGACGAGTCTGTGGTGGAGGAGTACAAGTACCTGGGTGTCAACAGTCAGGCTGTGTACAAGAAGGGGATGAGCAGACTCTACTTTCTGAGGAAGCTGAGATCCTTCAATGTGTGCAGCAAGATGTTGGAGCTCTTCTATCAGTCTGTTGTGGCCAGTGCACTGTTCTCTGCTGTGGTCTGCTGGGGGAGCAGCATTGGAGCTGGTGACACTAAGAAACTGGACAAACTCATTAAGAAGGCCTGCTCTGTGATAGGCTGCAAGCTGGACTCTTTTGTAGTGGTGACAGAGAGGAGGACTCTGAACAAACTGTTATCCATTATGGATAATCCTGATCATCCTCTGCACACCCTACTGGACAAACAACGGAGCAGCTTCTCCAACAGACTGATCCAACTCCGCTGTCACAAGGACCGATACAAGACATCATTCTTACCGAAGGCCATAGCTCTGTACAACAGCTCACCTCTTGCGAGCAGAGAACTGTCATCATGATAATATCTGTCTCTCCTTACTGTAATCTGTTCTTTACAAATTATCCCTGCACTCATGTTCACTTCATTTGGCTGTCTACTTGCCGTTATATTGTATAGTTTCTGCTTTCTAATATGTCTACACTCATGCACTTTAATTTATGTCAATACTGTCCATTTACTACTCTGTTTTTTGCACATTTACATTTAATCTTTCATATTTAATCTTCCTATTTAAGACTAGTAATGCTTAGTTAAATCCTGGTTGTATATATTCACATTCTTAGTTCTGATATTTTTAGTACTTATTTACTTTGTATTTAATATTATATTATGTTTAGATTTGCTAACATTGTGTTTTTTACTCATATTGTGTGTTGGATAACCTGCTGCTGTAACGCCACAATTTCCCAGTTTGGGATCAATAAAGTAACTCTATTCTATTCTATTCTATTCTATTCTATTCTATTCTATTCTAGTGTTGTAGGACTCAAAATCGGTCTTGGTCTCGAGACTTTTTGAAGGTCTCTTTTTGGAATCTAGAGAATTTTTACTTGGTCATGTCTTGGTCTCAGGCTGGGCGGACTTCGGATTGTAAATCAAGACTTGCCAAGACCACCACTGATAGGCTATTTTTCCACGTCATTACTGTGATTAGAAGAAAAATGCCTCTTGCAAAAAGTCACTCACTTAGGCGGCAACCTTCCTGTTGTTACGGTCTAAGTGAGTGACACGCCCCCTGCACACAAGATGACGATTTTTCAGTGATATTTATGATCTTGGTCTTGTTTTGCCCTGTCTTGGTCTTGTTCTTGACTCGGTCTCGATCCCTTAATTACTTGGTCCTGTCTCGGTCTCTGAGCACTCTGGTCTTAGTTTGGTCTTGACTACATCTACGTTTAGCCATAACTTCCAACCACGACTTTATTTTCCCTCAGTTGCATTATTTGCAATCAAGTTAGCAACTTGTGAAGCGCCTGTGTTTACATCAAAAGCACTTCTTTTCACATGGTTTAGGGCAGTGGTCGCCAACCCGTCGATCGCAATCGACTGGTAGATTTCCTGTAGCTCCTGAAAATAAATACAAAATTTGGACAACAACGTGCCTGACTAATGTTATTTTTGCAAGTACGCTCTCTCTTTCTCTCTTGAATCAACTGTTGCATTTTTACAGCGTAGCAGGTGCTGCATTTAAGTGACCAATGACATAAGAGTGGGCGGACCGCAACGTTAGCTGTCGCAAATGTCAATAGAGCCACGGCACACGCCAATAACAGTTTGCTAGCATAGTGGAGGCTCCGCGAAAGAAGTCGAAAACATACAATTTCCATCCAGAATGGGAAGAGGAATTTATTTTTACCTTGGTGAAAGACAAGTGTGTTTGTATGCTACCAAACGCAAGCATTGTCTAAGAGAAGAAACCTGGAGCGGCACCACAATACCAACCACCAGAAATTCAAAGAAAGCTACCCCCGAAAGAGCGCCATCCGGGCAAGGAAAGTTGAGGAACTAAAATCGGGTTTAAAACCCAGCAATCGCTTTTCACAAAACCTGCTGCTCAAAATAAGGCTGCTGCTGAAGCATTGTTTCGTATAAGCCACCTGTTGGCTAAACACAAGAAGCCTTTTACAGATGGCGATTTATTCAAGGAAGCAATGGCCATTACCGCAGAGACTGTTTTCAACGACTTCAAAAACAAAGCTGAAATCAAAAACGCACTGCGTGGTTTACCACTTGGCCCTGCAACAGTGACAAGGAGGGTCGAGTCACTATCGAAAGACGTGGATCGACAAGTGTTAAAAGACTTGTCTCTCTGTGAATATTTTTCTCTACAGTTCGATGAATCCCAGGATGTAATGGACACGGCTCAGCTTGTTGTATTTGTCAGAATTGCATTCCAGGATTCTACAACAAAGGAGGACTTTCTCACTCTTTTGCATTTAAAAGAGAGAACGAGGGGTGAGGATATTAACAATGACTTTAAAAAATATGTCAGTGAAAACGACATCCCATTCATAAACTGGTTGCTATTACTACTGACGGGGCCCCGGCAATGTGCAGTGTGCGCGCTGGTTTCGTAGCACTGTGTCATAATGACCCCGATTTTCCTGACATTGTGAATTACCACTGTGTTATTCGTCAGCAGGCCTTAGCTGGGAAGGTCCTGGACTTTTCTCATGTAATAGCACTGGTGGTCAAACTGATAAATTCGATTCGAGCAAAAGTGCTTCAGCACTACTTATTCAAGGCGTTATTGGATGAGCTCGATGCCGCATATGGAGACCTAATTCTCCACGCTGATGTCCGGTGGTTGAGTCGCAGCAAAGTGCTGCAGCGTTTTGTTGATTTGCTGCCAGAGATTAAGACTTTTCTGTCGACAAGGAACGAGGAGCATGAGCAACTGTTGGATGATGCGTGGCTACTGGACCTGGGTTTCTGACAGACCTAATGGCAAAACTGAACGCATTAAACAACGAGCTCCAGGGTTAAGACCGACACCTGCCCCACATGATAAGCGCAGTGAATACGTTCAAGGCCAAGCTCGGTGTTTGGACCACACATCTAAAGAATGGGACGCTGACACACTTTTCCAACCTGGAAAAAATGTCACAGGCCATCGAAGACAAGGATGCCTTTCACCCTGAGCAGTACTGTGATCACCTAGACAAAGTGGCAACAGAGATCAATAGGCGTTTTGGTGAGTTAGACGTCATGGAAGATATTGCTGCATTCGTCTCAAACCCATTCCTGCCCATTGATATAGAACAGTTATCAGCCAAATTCCAACAAGTATTTTCTTTGCAAAGTGGAGTTGACATGGAGATAGTTGATTTGCAAAATGACATAGAGCTGAAAGCCAGATCAAGGCACACTGACTTTTGGGGACTTGTCAGCAGAGAGAAGTTTCCTCTTCTCACCGCATGTGCACCAAGAGTGAGTGCCTACTTTGGATCCACTTATCTCTGTGAAATGGCGTTTTCACAAATGAAAATAATCAAAACAAAGTACAGGAGCCGCCTAACTGACAGACACCTCACTGACTGTCTCAGACTGGCTGTCTGTAGCTATGAGCCAAACTACAAGGCACTCACAGACAGTATTCAGTCACAGCCATCCCACTGAGTTGAGTGAGTAGCATGACTGCAACAGTTCTGCCTTCTGATGATGTGA